GCTGTTCTGTGGCCAGCTCCATCAGCTGCGTCAAACGTTACCAAACCATGCAGCTTTGACTTCATTCTTCATCGGCTTTGCAGAAAAACCTATCTGCCAAACGTCAGAGATTTCTACGACGGCATCGTTCATATAATGGTATGTAGACAAGTAGTCCCCCTCTGCACGGAGAACCGGCTGGATATGCCGCTAAAGTTCCTCTCTGGTGGAGTGAGGCAGTGAAGTCTGATGACATCGGTTCGTAAGCCCCTCGTTACTAAGTGTTCACCAAGCAAATCTCTTGTGGATCTCGATGGACTAGTGAACGCCGTATGGTTCACAAAGGTTGGCACTCTCAATGATTGCTTACGTAACTCGCCAAAAATACGTTACACAAGGAAGAATACCAAGGTCGTGGTACTTGCAGACCGCTTGTCAAAGAAGGAAACATTTTACGACCCGTGATGGTAAAGACGTGAGTAGCAAACGGCAAACGGATATCAACAAGATCTTCATGGTCAGCCACAAAACCAGAGCTTTGTCATTAGACGCGATCGTCAGTATCCGTATCGCAGAGGTAAAGGAGATCAGATCAGATGTTCTCGGCCCAAAGATCCTGCAAACGTATCGCAAAATGGAACAGTGGTGATTAAATGATCCTCGAGAAGGGATATGTAAGCCTGGGTCGGAAAAACGGTGTGTGATTCACCATGGAGAAGATAGCTGTCCCCCTCGTAGTCAGCTGGGACTTCATGTAACCTTGTGTCGCCGTGCTAATTCTACGGGTGGACAAAAGAAATTTACAAGGCACAGCAGGCGGACGACGAAGAAATGGAGCAGTTCTATGAGGAACTTGAAAGCGCAATGCAAGAGGTTAGTGTAGACAACGTCTCAGTAACTCAAAAAGCGACAGGTTGGCCAGTGGCAAGTCTGAAGAATATCAGGAGTGGATATCCCGAGTTGCCAACAGGATCCCTATCGGAAATAGACATCTACTCGATCGGTCATTCACACACTAAGACAGGCCAATGACGAAGCTGTCTGGTCAATGGTGAAAGCCGCAACACCAGGAACAGTGGCAGAATGTCGACTTGCGTTCAAAGCGTAGCCGCTGATGAAAAGAAGTCAGGTTGAAGAACAGAAAGAAATTCATTAATGGCATTGTAATCACAGAAAATATTTCATGGGAGAAACATGGGACATCGTCGTTTAAAGAGGAAATATTGGAATAATTGGATAGAAATGACTGATGACCTCGGGTTAGCATAAACGACGCGTGTTCGAGAAACATCCTTGGAAAGACAAAGCCTCTTAGTCTGCACCAGCAAAGGTTTAAGCTCGACGCCAAAACACATCAAAAATGCACGCTACCGTTCAACATACGACATAAGAAAATGACCCTTGATAGTTAGGGTTCATCAACATCGTCAGAGACGGTACTCGCTAAAGTGACACTGCAAAGTGCCACCAGGCAGCCAGTTCTGCGAAAACATCAAATCAGACAATGGACACGAACTGCATACTCAATGGTCAGACTCATCAAGCCTGCCGTTAGAAAACGTTTGACTCGGCAGCACCAAGCGAGGGTCAGCTTGCCGTCCAACTCATCACGGCTGTCTTACCTCGGAAAAGGGCAGTAAGACAGGGCTGATGCTTTCACACCAATCTCATCTTATAGACCATCATCCGTGGTATGTGTTGTAGAGCAGATGCTGCCATTGCGGTCTTCATTCATGTTGCAACTTTGTCATTTTGTTTGTTGAGACCTTCCTACAAGAAGTCATGCCCGCTGAACTCGCAGCTTATCTACGCTTTTGCTATAAAGCATTGGTTGTTGCATCGTATTATAAGCGATTCCCTCCAATTCTGCGTTTTCCTCCGTGGCACAGCTAATGGTCTGGTCAACATCAGCCGTGTTTCAACTTTCACGCGAGAATCTCATAAACCTGAGTTATGACCTGTGCTTAACCAGTTTGCCAAATAGGTCCAACCAGATCACTTTAATGCGCCTGGAAAAGAGTAGTAACTCCTTACGTGGTTTCGCCATTTAACCCTCACTTACTCACTTCAGGTATGAACTAACTGCACTCAAGAATCATGATCCCTTATTCAAAAATGCTAGATTTATTTTTATGTATTTTCGTGTTAGGACTAGTTTTCTGAAGTACATAGTAAAACTAGATTCTCTTGAATATACGCCGCGTTATATTCAGCAGAACTGCACTAGATTAGTGTACTGAAAAAAAGCCTGACTGACATATGCAAAACAATTCGGGTGCAAACGTCATTCAGGACAGCTTGTCCTCAGCACTCTCGTCTCTTTATCCTCCAGCGTTACATCACCATTTACTTGACATTTGCATGTATAAACTCTTGCCTCCGAGTGTGATGAAGAGGAAGTACGGTATGTCATACGTCCCCTTAAAAAACATGGCTACCTCATCATCAGAACGGTATTTCTTTATAATGACTAAGAACGAGGTAGAACAAGTGTTCGAAGCGAGTGCCACAGTTGCATGTTTGGAATAAATCAACAACGAGGGATTGGATGTAAACATGCAACATGGCATGTATTCAAAAAATAACACTGTTTTCATCGGTGATAACAGTGACAATGCACTGTGATTTCTCTGAAAGGACAGAAACCAGTTTGCAGCTTCATGGTTCGAAAATGAGATTAGTCACAATCACCCGTTGTGAGGGAATTTTAGCAAAAAAAATTTATGATTGGTGACAAGGGTACTAATACAGAAGTGCATATCGTGTTGTAGAAAAGAAGCGAGCGCTCTGCGTTAAATTATTAAACTTGATGACGTCACATCACTGACGACCTTTTCGTGCAATTTAGCAATAGCCTCAGCTTGAAGCTTACAATGAAATGAAATACGCAACGCTTAGCTATTTACGGCCATCGATTCTTCGCCATTTACTTTGAATCTTCCTGACAATGCGTCATCGTATCTTGGACTCAACCACCTGTAGAATTTCCGGTATTAGTTATGATTTTTATTCTTTTATTACTGTGTGTGTTGCTTAACTAGAGAAGTCGGATACCCTGTGAGTATGAAGTACAGGAGGTTACTTTGGCCAATGTAAATGAGAGTAAACGAGAGTTCTCCCTCTTTGATCACGAAATCACACACTCTCATAGCCCAGTCGTGTCCTAAACTGGCGTATGCTTTAGGACTGAATTAGTTCCTGCTTCACCCAGTCTTTCAAACTTTTCATAATTTATATATCACAGGAGAATAACAAAAAGTTTTATCAAAATATTAAATTTCTAGGCTTGGAGTTTTGTTTCAAGGTTTCATTTTTGCTGTTGAGCGAAGTCAATTTGAATCCAGACAGTTTTACAGTTCACGCCCACTCATATCTGCTTTCAGGCTTATTTTAGCACCTTCCATATCAGTGAAGAACTGCTCTTGAACAGCATATGAAATAGCCTTTTTCAAAATTGTGAATTTCAAAGTTAAAGTTTTTGTCTTTTGATTTCCTTGTGAATATTGTGATAATTTTGCGAGGTCATTATCAGTGACCGAAGTCATGCAGTCGCACGTTTAAATGTATATAACTGATCAGCACTTCCTATCTCTCTCAACCACTTAATTTAAGCCATTTGAGTTACATATCAATGGAAGGGCTATATGTGATTAACACCAAGTTTTGGTCGAACTTGTTTATTTTCCACAATCAACAAGCTTACATAGCACTCACTCCTCTCACTTCTCCCGCCTTAACACGGCGTAGTCTCACCGCCCGTTTTGCTTCCAGTAGCATAGCGACAGTTCAAACAGATCATGGCTCCATGGTATTTTAGCATCTGCTGTGAATCGATGCAGAACTGTACCACTTTGTTGAAACGAACTGATATACCTGGATCAGTAGGTTAAGAGTTATCCTTGGTATTAGGTGTTTGCCAGCAAATTGCCAGGTTTCGATACCGCCGGTAAGAACAACAAACTCCTGTCATCCAAACCCTGTTTCTCTTGATTCATTACCTTTATTTTTCTGTCATTACATGAGAATTCGATGTAATTCAAATGTTGCGAAACAATTGGGCAGTGTTCCTAGTCAACACTTCATTAGGGTGCAGTGGGTAGGCATGGTAGGTAGATGTGTCAAGTTCGGTCACTGGCTGTAGTCATAATATCATGCTATCCTCCTGAGTTCATGATCACAAGCTCTTGTGCCTTGGAATGATTGTACTACGCGTGTCGTGATAACGTAGACATGCAACATATACGCTCAGTGAAGACCATAAAACCGTAATGACGAAGCCGCAATCACTTAATCAGCTTACTCGCACCTACGTGATCATTCATGCGATTGTTTTAAATACAAAGGTTGGGTTGAGAGGTTCTGCTTGCAGACAGCTTTCCATTAATATGTAACGTTAGAGGCTGAACGAACAGTTGATAATGATGGATAATGGCAATTATATCGGTTATATTTGCACCAATAATTCAGAAATGGTAGATGGAGGGAAGTCGTAGCACCATAATATGAGACAATATTGCATCGCCATTTTGCCTCTAGTCGATTAGAGAAACTTTTGAAGCAGCACTCTGCTTCGCGATACCCCGTCACCACCTGCAGTTCTGAAAGACGTAAGATTGCGCCAATGAAACTGAACACGCCACCTCGTAGCTGTAACGGGAGTAAAATGAATGCTCTCACGACATATTAACCCTCAAGCTATGCAAAAAAATATTTTATTATATTGCTTCAATATATGTATATTAAAAACGTAGCATTTGTGCCATAACATATAATTGATGAAGCATGTGATATAGGATGCATCAATTAACGTGTTAAGGATCGAGTTTTTCTACCTAAGCGGACTGACACGTCTGTCTTAAAGCTCAGTCCATGACTGGACGTAGACGGTGGTTTCCATGCTTGCACCAAAATTTGTAGTAGAACCATTCTTCACTTAGAAGGATTAGCCTTAAGGACGAAAGAGGTTTGTTGACTCCGTACGTTTGACTCACAATTTCAGGATTCTTAGCAGATCTTCATAGTTAAGCAAAATATCCTCCTTCGTTCTTCGCCAAGGCCGCAATTCGTGACACCGGTCGTGGAAGTCCACCACTGAATGGATTCGGAACCTGAAATTCTGGAGAGTACCAATGACCTAAAAATTTTAAAAACATCAAAAAACACAGAACGAGAAACTGTTTTTTAGAGAGCTTTCATTTGATCAGAAACTTCAGTCCCGTTGACCTTTAAAATATTTACTTTTCTTTCTCTAAATAAGGCTTCTGTTCTTACACGTAAAAATTCGAGGATGCGTAAGAAGGACAGCAAAGTACTCTAAGTTTGTACACTTGTTGATGAAAAGTGTAGCCCCAAGGAATGCGATCAAAAAACGAAAAATTGCGGGGAAAACCAACAAAATGCAGATAGGTTTTGTAGAAGAAACCTCAGGGTTTATCTGCCTTTGTTGGTTTTGGTGCTTCCTGCTTCATTGGTCATTTCTGCGAGTCAAACAGTATCTGATGCTGTGTTTAAAAAATCCCCATAAACGCTAAGAACTAAGAAACCCTAATACTAATCTAATCGACTTGTTTAGCGATTCGATCAATATTACTGATATTTATTGAATTAGCGAGTCGAAAACCGAGCTGTCAGCGCCTTCATTCGTTCATTCAGTAGTTAGTTTCAACGGCATAACTGAATTTGCATCACAACAAAGAAGAAACTTTTTCCCTGTACCTCATGTATGAAGAAACCTTGTCTGGCAGCAATGAGAGCTGGTCAGATTTTGCGTCAGCAGAAAATTGTTCTCCTAGATTTGCATCATTTTATTAATAACCAGTAATTTCACTCACCCGGTTTACATGTGCTCTGTGCACCTGGCGGCATGCGAGGTCCGGATCCCGTGCAACAGCCCTATCAGTGAACTTGGAATGATACAGGACCAATGACCAGTTGCTGCGAGCCATCCTGTCAATATAATTTTGGAGCAGTTA